ATCTGAAAGCTGCAAAACCGATCGGCACGTGAGAACCATTTTTTTAAGGAGGTGGGATGGTCAAGATGGACCCACCAGACTAGAAGGGAGGTCAAGTTCCTCGCCAGAAAGTGGTGATGAGGGGGAGGAAATAAACCAATTCAAACGTCAGACTGTTTGCTCTTTTCTAGAAGGAAAGTGTATTTCGACCGCTGTCTCCCCTCCTCAGAGGCACGTTAGGCTGCATGCAGCCCTCCAGCTACAGATACAGTCCGTACAGCAGAAGTGGGGCTCACTTCGCTTCGGGCAGCCGTGTCTGGAGACTCCTGCGCCATAAGGCATGGCAGACCTCTCTCCAAGGTCACCACGGTGGCGAGGTGCTGCGGGGCTCTACGCTGGTGAACCTATGTGACAAACCCTACATAGGCAGCCCTCATCTGAACAGCGCCCAAGACTCGTACGTCTGGTCCATTGCTAGATGGTCCTCCCTTTGGAGCATGGTGTACGCTGTCAACAGCAAGAGGCTGAAATGGGATCTGGTTGCCCGAGTTGATTTCAGTTTTCAAGAGCACACGCAGGATGAAATTATCGAGTACATTTCTGCATCCCCCCCTTCCCCAGGTAGCTGGGCCTGCATCACACAGCAATGTGCAAAGAGCTCACTCGCGACCCTGTTGTGATCTGCCACAATTCAACCGCATGTCAGTCTAGCCCGGCGGCACCACTCTCCGGGCACGCTTCCCAGGCCAGCAACAAACCGCTGAGCTGCATGGGAAACCAACTGCTCTGGGCTGAAGTTGGAGAGGGCACCACACCAAACAGACTGAACGGCAGTTTGGCTCTCTCGTGTGCTCCTGGGCACCTCTGCCATCCAATGGCTCCTTTAGCCTGTCGGTTTCACAAGCAAGCATTCCTCCAGGCGAGCCCGCTTTTCCTAGTTCCCTAGCTGGAACCAGCTGTCTTCATCCTGACCACTCAAAGAGAGCCCCCGCCCCCAACAACAGAGAGAGCTGCATCTCCTGTCACGCCGCAGTATCCTCCAGGCCCCAGCACCCCAACCGAAAGCCCCGCACACCCACAATATGAAGGGTCTGGCTCCAGCTCACAAGACTAGGGAAATTCAAAGCCAAGGCTGAAAAGTCAGCGCTGGTGGCCAGCTGGAGACTCCTGTGCTATCCCAGACAGCGGAGAAAGGCGACGACTCTGGAACAGGCCTCTGTGCTTACATCAGGCCTTGAGGTGATTCCCATGAGCAGGCCGGCGCTTCAGTTGTGGAACAACAGGATTTTGATTTGTGGGAACAGAGTATCAACCACTCAGAGCCTAGCCAAGGGCCCTAACTGGAGACAGAAGTCGTCTCAACCAACCAGCATCTTAGCCCCCCATGTCTCCCCCAAGAGCAGCAAGTTTTATGCAGAGAAGCTGGTTCTTTCGCCGGACAGGGCCTACGAACAGCTTCCGGGCCTCTCGCCACCCACTTTGGGCAAAGCCAACGCCCAGCAGCAGCAAACACGGCCCTCTGGCTGACCCACTCCAGCTGGCATGGCTGCCCTTCCTGTTTGCGCAGGGCAGGATGTTCTGCTACTAAGCAGCATGCAAGCCCTAGACACGCCACCACCGCCAGGAGCAGTGGGCGCAGCACCCAGGGAAGCACGCAGGGGCAGCCCTCACGGCCAGTTGGGTACAGCCCCCTCCCCTCCTGGGGAACGGACCGCTGCCTTCAAATCCGAGTTCCGGGATACCGCCAGTCCTTCCGCCGTACCACTTCAGCCCTGACTGCTCCCCAGCGGGCGTGGCCTTTGCCTGGGAGAACGAGGATTGGCCCCCCCAAAGCCGTCTCATGCTGCACCTGGGAGTCTGACCAACGCCCTGTGCCGCTGGGCTCAAGCCCGCACAGCCTAGGGCTTCGCAACCGCTGCACGGCCTTGCCGGGCACCCGAAGAGGCCTGAAGGCACCAATCTACAGACACCACATTTCACAGGCAGCCTCCTGACTCCAGACCGTCCCCACACGTTGCATGAGGCAGCCCGTAAGACGGCTTTCTCCACATCCGCCTCCCCCAGCCACGTTCGCGCGCTCTGGGGCCCTCGCATCTCTCAGCTCCGTGCCTCCCCTTCTCCAGAAGTCAGCCCTGCGCCTCCCCTACCCCCCCAGCCAACCGAGCACCCCGATAACCCCGCCCTGTGCTGCCCCCGGCTTGCCGGACCAGTGGGAGGAACGAATGACAGTGCACCTGTGAGTCAGAGAGGCAATAGCACATCCAGTCGCTGTAGCAGGAAGGACACTACAACAGTATATACACATGACGTCGGCTTCAACTACTTAGGCTATTAAGTCTTAGATTAAACTCCTCTCCGCAGCAGGGCCCACAGCCTGCCTCCGGAGCCGGGCGGGGCCCGAGACCCGGGGTGGGTCGTAGGTCTCAGCAGCAGGAAGCAGCTACGGGAGCACTGTAAATGCAACCGAATTGCCCAGGAGATCGCCAGACAACAGTATATACACATGACGTCGGCTTCAACTACTTAGGCTATTAAGTCTTAGATTAAACTCCTCTCCGCAGCAGGGCCCACAGCCTGCCTCCGGAGCCGGGCGGGGCCCGAGACCCGGGGTGGGTCGTAGGTCTCAGCAGCAGGAAGCAGCTACGGGAGCACTGTAAATGCAACCGAATTGCCCAGGAGATCGCCAGCCGGTCCCAGCAGAGTCTCACAAAGAGGCGGGTACAGAGGG